CAGCCAACAAGCTGGATTGCAGCGGCTACAATGAGGGTTCCCCTAGGGCCTATGGTGTTTGCCAGAGAAGCACCAATGGCACCCCCAGCAACAAGACCGACGCAGTACGAAAGATTCAAGTATGCCAAGTGCGCTGTGCGGCTCGTATCCCCAGTTTCTAGTGCAACAACCATCATAGCTGCTTGCGTCCCGTGAATCATGAACCCAGGCAGCTGGCTGAGGAAGAGTGCGGTAAGGCTTGATGCGACAGCCATCTGTGGAGGCGCTGTCCTTGCTACACAAATTACACAAAATCAGTAAAACCCTCTCCTCACCATGATGTACATAACGCAACACGATGAGATCGCAATAATGAACCTGGAGAGGGATTTGATTAGTGGGATCAAAGAGCGCTTTCATAACGTGCAGTTTAGGGCACAAGCTCACGAGCTTCGCGGCCCCAGGGCGTCCCCTATCCTCCCAAATAGTGGGGCTCCGAGCAGTTGACACATCGAGAATACCCCTAAAAGCGCTTAGGGAAAAAGAAGGTGGGCCCACATTTTCTCACGTTTTACCTAGCACCCAGCCGTTGGCCTGCTCATTATGTCAAAATTGAATGCCCGCGTAGCTTTTCTTTACAACGCGTGCCTTACCTGGACAGGCTGTTGAAGCTCCATAATAATGTAGGGAAGCAGTGCAACCTGATAAAATGGCAATTTATTTTCCACCAATACAGCCGTACAGAACACTGGGCAGACCTGCATTGTGAAACCTGTTGCATAAATAGCCAGCAAAGTGTGGCAAATGCCCAGAGGGCTTCCAGCGAAGTCTTTGAAAGACAGAAANTTGCATAAATAGCCAGCAAAGTGTGGCAAATGCCCAGAGGGCTTCCAGCGAAGTCTTTGAAAGACAGAAATGTCAATTCAGCGCTCTGTTTCACCGTAATGCTTGCGGTTCGGAGAGAAAAGGACATCGTTGCGTAGTCTGCGGTGTTCAATATGCGAATACTCGAATACTCTGCTGAATACTCTGCCTATTCTGAGGTGTCAGCCTGTCAGGGAAATATATGGAAAGGAAAATAAAACTGAGAATTGGAACGGAAATTAACGAAATGTCCGCATTTCACGCATAAAAACCTGTGCAAGCGTGAGGAGTCAAGGTTTCCCCTTAGGGTGTACAGGCACCTTAGGAAGTTTCGGAACTAAGGAGCCCTCATTAATCAGGAGAGCGCAGTTGTTGTTCTAATGACGAACGAAGTTCTTCGTACCGCGGGTTCTTTCCCATACTCAGTGGGTAATCAAGAACCCCCGGGAATTCATGGTCTACGGCATCAATGGCCTGGTGCAGTGCCTCCACCGCCGTCTCGTCCGGAGCCGAGCGTCGTATTTTGGTGTCTGCAACATGCGCACACTTTACAGCCAATTGAATGTACAGGAAGGCGCGGGAGCCCTCTACGCTGCATTTCGCCCCTACCATGAGGGTGGCATGCGCAAGGGTGGGGAAAACGGCGAATAGAACAAATATCAGTTACCAAGTGTGTGTCTGAAGTGCCTTTGCCCTGGCATGCCACTCAAAACGCCGAGAATTGGCTTCAGTAGGACAAAAGGGCTTTTGGGCTCGTCCACGCGTGCTTCGTAGCGCTCCAGGTAGTCCGTGTATGCCTAGGAAGCAGGGAACGACGCGCAAACAAGTCCATGCTGTTGTTTTCTTGTGGCCAGAAGTAGTCCAATCAGTACTTAACGCACCATGAGGAGGCTTCGTCTGCAGTGTGCACTTTCAGGGTTGGCGCTTGCTCCTGCAGTAGAGAAGCGAAATCACAAAGCTTCTCAGTTCCAATGGAACGACACATGACCGTTGTCGTGAAGGACAGCAAACGGGAAACGGCTCTGTCAACCATAAGTGCCTCAACTAGGGCAAAATCCTAAATTTTCGTTCGCGGGACTGGCCCCTACCGTAAATTAGCTTATCAGCTTGGGCAAGACAGCAAGGGTCATTCATGGCGGCTCTGCCAATCATTACCCCGTGCAGCCCTCCGAGGTGCACACCCTCTGCAGCTTCATTGTCACAACTATGGGGACGCGCAGCCGCCTTGTCTTCCGCCTTCCTCCATTCGCCACTCAGCAACTGTTTCGCCAAGTCCAGAGTGTTCACTCCCCCGTTGATAGAGAAACAAAGGTCGGGGAAGGCGTCACACAGCTCAAAAACCCTGCAGCCCCATTCAACAAGTAGTACGTAATCAGTTTCAGAACGGCGA